CCCCCCCCCCCCCCCCCCCGCTCCCCCGGCTCTTTGTCTCTGTGAATGCTAGGTAAACTCTACCACTGAACTCCAAGCCCAGCCTCTCACCTGCTTCTTGGTGTCCACCTCCAGGATGTCCATCAGATTGATCATAATGTTCTTATGGGTCTTCTTGTATTTCCCAACACGCAGTGAGACGGTGAGCCAGCCGGGACGGCCCGTGCACATGAAGGTCTTGCTGCCCTGTTCCTTCCATTCTCGTACCTGCAACCACAGGGTGAGACTTAGCTGGCTCTGTCTGGCTCCCCAGAATGGCTCACGGGTCCTCTTCCAGGATAAGAGGCCTGGGAAAGATGCCTTTACCCGGTACCATTGAGGAGGACGGTAAAGCCCTGAGGGCCTTACCCTGTGGAGTCTCCCTGGCTCACAAGGCCAACAGGAGAGCAAATGTGTTGCTGTTGTACAAGAAAGGATGAAAAACGAACTAGAAAACAAAGTATCCTGAAAACATTAAGTGGACAGTTCAGGAAAGGCTTTACAGTGGTCACAGACTGATTGTCAAAATGATTATCATCTCCAGGGCACGCCCACCCAACAAGGCACCCTACTCTACACTGTCTTCTTAATCTCTCAATCCTAGGAGGTGGGGGTGACCCCCCCTCTTTTTGCAGATGAGGAAACTCAGGCAAAATAACTTGTCTAAGATCATACAACCCATGGCTGGCAAGACTCAGATTCATTGCCAGGACTGACCAATCACAGAGCAGGGAAGACCAGAAGACAGATGGGCTTAGTCCACAGAAGAACAGCTACTTATGAAGCATGTTCCGTGCCAAGCCCGGCTGTCAGCATCTCACATGCTAACTCATGTACCACTCTGACAGGGAGAGGAGGGGCAGGCAAGGAGCAGCCAGCCAATGGCAGTAGTACTTTGGCAAAAGCTCCATGCCAGAGCAGAGAGGGTGCAGAGGATGACATGCTGGTGAGGGATAAAAGAAGTATCTTGTCCCTGCAGACGAACAAGGCAGGAACTGCATGGCTGTAGTTAGGGCATCCAAGGACTGTCCGTTGCCTCTTCATCTGCGTCTACCAATTCCCCTTCCTCCACCCAGGTGAGGCTGATTCCACCAGGCTGGCCACACTCTCTTTACTGAGGTGGGAGCAACACTGGCTGAATCTAAGCCAGAGACTGTGGGGCACTCCACAGGAAGACAGCACCCCAGGAGAGCAAAGTCAACTAACTCAGGAAGGAAGAGCCAAGACAGACACCTCAGACAAGATAGACAGACGGGAGAGAGGGTCCTGGGTTCAGTCGCACCTCAGCCAGCTGTACTACTGGATTTTTCAGGACACAACCTAGGGCAGCTCTTTTGTACTCAAAACCAGCTTCAGCTATGTTCTGCAAGAGTCCTGTCAAGGGTCAGACTTCTGGGGAAGGTGCCCTGGAGCTGTCAGAGGGCTCAGGATGGGGAGGCGGCTTTCGGTCTAGCAGAAAGGCACTACTGTGAGCGGCGGTTGAAAGGACAAAAGGTGAGTTCCATGACCATCCAGCTCTGCCTGACTCTGCGGTCGGAGACTTTATGGAAACAGAGCGTGAACGACACAGGTGGGCGCTATCAAGCCTGGAACATCGATTAGATTGGGGCAAAGAAGCAAAGTACGGAAAAACCATTCTTTGTCAGATTCTCAAGAGAGACAGGAAGGGCCCAGAAGGTAGGCAACAACTCAGGCAGTTATGGTTAAGAAACCAGGCATGAGGCAACGAAACCAGAGTCATGGGGTGGGCTGGAAAGCATAGGGCTGAGGGAGTTGAGAGTTCAGGCTCTTTATCCCAAGCCAACGTGAGTCCCTGCCCTATTTACCAGCTGTGTTGTTCCGGGCAGGACTCACAGCTTAAACTTCATTTTAGTAAAACAGGTACCAGACACCAGGTGGCTGTGGACAGCAAATCACAGTCACGAAAGGCCCGGGCCCCATTGTTTCCTGTTCACAGCGCATCCTTCCATCTAGTTTGCATGAACAAGCACCCACTAATATACTCTGGCCCCCAGGGGAGCAGTCAGGTAACAGTCCTCTCTTCAGGAGCTCACAACCTGACCGGGGCATCCGGCGGGTCAATGTGGGACCTGAAAGACTTAGGAAGAAGAGCAGGGTGGGAGAAAAGCAGAGCTGTGGGGTGCGCTCCAAAAGCTAGGCTGGTAGTGCCAAGTGCTTCTGACAGCAGCACCCTCTGCACGCTCGCCTCCCTGGGCAAGGTCTTCTGGTCTGGAGGTCAGTCCGCCTGCACCTTCAGGCTCAGCCTGCAGCATACTGCACGAAGTAAATAGAACAAGAGGGTGGCTGCCATGAGGGCAGCAGCAGGAAGCAGACGCTCTCTGAAGTCGATGCCGGTTAGAAGATAATATAAGGGCAGAGGGAGCTCATGCCAGCCCTGGATGGGGGAAGAGGGCTTCACTGTGAAGGTGTCTCAGCCTAGGTGCCGGCTAGCTTATGTAAACTCATCATCTTCTTAGTGGGAGCCGGCCAACTACTTCTGGGTGCAGCGTGACTGCACATGGGGCTGGGAGCTGGAGTCCACCTTCTCTCTTTAGTCCTTTATTCGAAAGGCGCCCAAAGCACCTCGGACTGCAAAACCAAACTTTCACCTCTTTCCTACCATAAGGCTCCTCTCCCAACTGACTTTCTAACCTTCTTGCTCTCACTGCCTGTGCTCCTCTGCTTCCTTACCTTTGCTCAACCAATCTCTCCACTAGGCTCATTTCCCAGCACCATCTCCCGGGGGCCATTCCTCCTCTGGAATGCAGGGGCCTAATGAGTTACCTGACTATGGCCCACCTCTGAAGGTTTAGGGTCCCTCGTTTTCCAGGCACTGCGCATGCCCTGCACCTAGCGGACACTCCATAAGTCTCCAAGCAAGGCTCTGCTAGTTGCCCCGGTGCTTTTGCTGATTCCGTCTCATCCTCTGGGCAGTCCTTACCCCCGCCCCCCCATCACACGCGGGGTCCTCGCGATCCCCCCCCCCCACGCCCGCTCTTCTGGCCTGGCACACCGCCGCCCGGCGGACCGCTAGCCCGGCACACAGCCGCGCCCCGCTCTGATCACCTGCTTCTGGATGTCCCGCACGCGCTGCTCGTGCAGGCGCGGCGCGCTGCTCAGCTTGAACACCACCCAGGCACGCACGTAGTAGTAGATGTCGAAGATGAGCGAGAGAGGCAGCAGGAAGAGGCACACGAACACCCAGCGCTGGTGAATGAGCACGAACTCCAGTCCCTTCACTCGCACCCAGAGCAGAAAGAGCAGCGCGCACACGGCCAGCGACACGGCGGGCTCCATGGTGTCGCGGCGCGCCGCGCGGGAGGGTGCGGGCTCACGCCGCCCGTCACGGCAGCCCGCTCCGCCGGCTCAGAGCCTGCCGCCGCCGCCCCGAGAGCCTGTAAGTCGGGCCCGCCGCCTCGCGATTGGCTTGGGTCGCCAAGGTTCGGTGGGCCGAGACCCAGGCGGCGACCAATGGTGAGCCGCGCCGGGGATCGGACCAGGGAGCCGCTGCGTTCATTGGCTGCGGGAGCCTGGATGCTCCACCTTCTTCTCCTAGCCGGCGTGCGAGGAGGGGCTGACCCGGGTTGGGGGCGCTGGTAGGGTCGGCCCGCGGCCGGGTTGGCGGGACTCAGGGTTCCCGCCCTGGAACCACCGTGATCTTTCACTTAGGAGTCGCCTCTGGTGGAAACAACGTCAAGCAGTTGCGCATTGGGTTACCTCCTGAGGGTGGGACGCGCTCCAGACAACCATCCAGCAGCCCTGGTGGGAGAGTCCCCTGGCCTTGACCCGGGCAGGTCCAGTCATTCCACGTGCGCCAGACCAGAAGCGGCATCTTTTCAGTTTTCAAGGCGTTTATCATAAATGCGTTTGAACTAACCCCCTCAGGAGTTCTGGCCCGTGGGTCGTTGGGACCCCATTTTAAACACGATGGGGTGTGAATTCCACCTGTCGAGCGGTTTCAAAGCACAGAGGTGATGGTGGCATTCTTCCAAGCTGAGGTCGAAGTGGATGGAGACCTGGAGACAGAAAGGGCTTCAAGAGCACCGCAGCCCCGGGTTAAGAGTGAGAGCCGAGCACATGGTCCTGGCTTTGCGGAGCAATCAGGCTCAAGCTATGGAACAGTCTCTGACCTGGCCAGAAGCTTAAGCACAGTGACATTTTGTACTTTCTCTGAACAGGTTAATCTTTGGAGATTGTTTTTCAAACCCGTCGTCACGTACCAGACCCCTCTCTGCCTTGCATGCCTTTCCTGATTCCCTCCCTTTTCACCTCTGCCCCGTCACACACTCAGGCACTCCTGGCTACCATCCTTTATGGCAATGTCTTTGGTGAATCTGTCCCTAGAATGCCCTTTCCCATCGTGCCACTCACTGGGCTAAAACAGTACAACAGCCTGGAGGTCCCATGGTGCCACCTCTCAAACTGCGTTCGTGTTCTTCCTTCAGAGGCTCACAGTTCTTTCCATTTTTGTATAATTGTCCCTTTGTGTGGCTCCCACTCCTGCAGGAGCTTTAGGGCAAACAACACCTTGTTAATCCGGCACTTCTGAATTTCCAGTTTGTAGCATAATGACTGGGGCCTTGTCGACATACCCGTCTATTGACCAATGGACACCCGAAGAATGTAGGTGGGAGTTCGGATAGCCAATCGCAATCAAAGTTCAAAGCCAGAGCTTGTTTGTTTCAAAAGGGACCAACCAGTCCAGGCCCGAACTGCCTTTCCCAACTGTGACAGTAGTTTACCCAAACTGTGTTCATAATCCTCATATTAACTCTTGGTCAAAACGATTACCTCATCTTGGGTTAATATTAAAAATTTTAAGTTTTCTTGGTGTGTGTGTGCGTAGACCAGAGTTCGATGTTGAATGTCATTCTTAATCACTCTCCATTCTCCTTTTTGAGAAAGTGACTTTCTCTGAACCTGGAGCTTGCTAGACTGGTGGGCCAGCAAGTCCTAAGGCATCCACCTGTTTTTGTCTCCCCAGCACTGGGAGCAGGTGTGTACTGACACATCAAGCTTGGGGGCAGGTCTAGAATTTTAAATTCTTATGTGTATGTATTTATAAGTGTATGTTTTGTGTTTATATGTGTATGCTTGCATGAGTTCATGTGTGTCAGGATCTTGCGAAGGTCAGAAGAGGGCATTGAATCCCCTGGAATTAGAGGTTCAGTCGAGAGCTGCCATGTGGGTCCTGGGGACCCCTCCTTTGGTTCTTGACTGCCCCCACACCTGGCTTTTAAGATGGAGGCTGGGGACCTGAACTCAGGTTCCTCATAGCAAACACTTTGCTGAGTGAGCCCTCTGCTATTTCATGTTTTAAAGGTAGTTTCTAGAGAGTTAAAAGCGACAGGTTTGTGTCACGCTGTATCCTTAGAAGCTACAACCCAGAGAGGCCGTCAGCAGAGAGGGAGTATACAGTGTCTCGCCCTGGCCCTGTCCGAAGCAGGGGTTCAACCAACACTTTATTTTGGCAGTTAAGTGTTCTGAGCAAAGTTCAGGCGGACTGTAATCTGGACAGCAAGTTTAACTGAGAAATTAACTAGCATTGAGTATTTTGTAGGAGAAACTGAAAATTACTAATGAGGATAGTTTTATCCCTGGGAAGAGAAGAAGGAAGCCCATAAAAGTAGATTCAAAAATTCAGTTTTAGGAACAGCTGTCCAAGGAAAGGGACGAGCCCGTACCCAGAGCAGTCTCACTCCGCTCTCCCTCCATGCATGGACTTGGGATTCTTTCTTTCTCCCTCTTTACGAGCTCTAACCCTTCGGGTTGCCATTCTCTGAACAAGAAAAGTCACCTCTAGCTCGGCCATCAATCTATACTTTAAGTGAACATACAGTCAGACAACTTACCTTAGCTGTTAGGCTTCCTGTAATCATGACACAAGGTACAGACAGGTCCTGTCTCTCCAAAACCTCCCTCTTGCTTCCTCTCTGGAACTGGATTCTCCTCTCCACGAACCCCTGGCATTACTTCTCTGGTCTCATGATGTGGGAGTGATTTCTTATTAATAAAGAAACTGCCTAGGCCCCTTGATAGGCCAACCCATAGGTGGGTGGAGTAAACAGAACAGAATGCTGGGAAAAAGAAGCTGAGTCAAGGAGTCGCCATGATTCTCCCACTCCAGACAGACACAGGTTAAGATCCTCCCTGGTAAGCCACTTCGTGGGCTACACAGAATATTAGAAATGGGTTAGAACAATATGTAAGAGCTAGCCAATAAGAGGCTGAACTAGCCAGGCCAGGCAATGTTTAAAAAAATACAGTTTCCGTGTAATTATTTCGGGGCATAACCTAGCCATGCGGGCAGCCAGGTGCCGGGGACGCAGCCCTGCCGTTCTTAAATCAACAGAGTGGCGCCCAGACGTGATGGGCTAAATACACTTAAAAACCTGAGAGAGCTTAATTTTAAACAGAGAAAAAACAGTTTAATGCAGAGTTTTGCTCTTTGTTGGTGGCGTGCCATAGAGAGATTTCCTGATTCAGCAACAGCAGAAAAAAAAAGCGTCATTTTAAAGCGCAGCTTCTTGGGGCTGTGCTGCCAGCGTGAACTCTGGCTTTAAAGCATTTCAAGGGCTTTTATGGGACTGGATGTTTGTGTTCCACTTGGGATCGGAGGAGAGTGCTCTGAGACCGTGCAGATGGCTCAGAGCTCCCCGCCTGCACCTGGGCAGAAGGCAGAATCAGGCTTAGGCAGGTGGAAGAGCATGGCGGATTCCTGCCGCCTTACAGAGATGCGTTTTCAGACTGCGCAGTGCTCTGCGTGTCAGATTTGGCTGTAACTTGGATGAAAAGAGTTTCTGTGCTGCACACTCAGTCTCAGAATTAAACTGCTGATTGCGGCTCCAATGTGGACTGCTGTGTGCCTGGAACTGTGAATGGTTCAGGGGCTCCAAATGGCTCTGAGGCAGGAGCGGCTGCTCCATGCTGCACTGTGCTGACCTCAGGCAGGAGCTACCATAATTGCCATAATAACAGCGCAGTTAAGGTTTAGACTGGGCAAGACACAGGCGGTACCGTATTATCTGTACATGGTGCAACTTAAGTTTTTAAGAAGTGCTTAACATTTTAAGAAATGCTCCTGGATAGTGAAAAAATTACAGATTCACAGTAAAACAGATTCAGACATAAAAGACCTTTATAGATCACATTGTTGGATAAATGTACATAGGCTTGGGAAAGAGAAGAAGAAGAATATAAAAAATAAAGTTAATGTCTTAAAAAGAAAAAGGGTAAAGTCTTTAAAGAGACAGAATACAGAAGTACAGATAGTTATAGATTAAGAGAAATAAAGAAAAATAAGCCACGTAAAAATGGAAAATTCACAGAGAGTCTGGATTATGTACATTGTGTTTTCTTTAAAATTTTTGACTGTGAAGGAGCTAAGTACA